TTTGATCATAAGTTTCGATTTAGCGGATCTCTCGATTTAACGGATAAATTTTCTGGAAAAAAATATCCGTTAAATCGTAATATCAAAAATAAAAATAGAAATGATGTCATTAACACGCGTCTTCCGCAGTAATTTGGTTTGGTTGGATCGGCAAAGTGGTGACCTCTCTATCGGTCCTTATTTTACTATCACACAGTATGAAAAAAAATTCCCATAAAAAAAAAAAAAAAAAAAAAATCTTTAAAAATTAAAAAAATTCATTGACGGAAAAATTAGTGAGGAAGAATATAAAACAAAAAAAGAAAAATTTTCTCAATTTTTTAACCAAGAAAAAAAACCATTAGTCTCTTTGGTAAAAAATAATCAGGAAGAAGAAAAAGTTTTTTGGGAGGAAAAATAATTTCAAAAAATGTCTAGAAATTTTCATAAAGTTGTTGAATCTCAATTGATAACCTTTTCACCTGTAGGAGAAAATCACAATGTAATTATTTTGATTAAAATTTTTGTTATTCATTAATTAAAATATTAAAATATATTCATTAATTAAAATGTATTTATATTAAGGTTGAATTAAATAATTCTATAGAAGATAGAAAGAATTTATGGACACAAAAATCTACTGGTAAAGATATTAATTCAAAATGGCAAGGTATATGACCAGTACCAGATGATTTGATTTCGGAAGATAATACAAATTATATACTTTATAATTTAAGTGAGTTAAAAAATTTAATTAAATTTTTAAAAATAGATAATAATAATAATATAGAAAGAAAAATGAATTTACATTTTTTTTGGGTTAATCCACCCACATACACACCTTCTAAAGTATATTTAGAAGCAATTAAAATAATAACTAAATATAATAATAATTATGAAAATGAAAAAAAGGAAATTTTAGAAAAAAAAAAGAAATGCTAAATAATAGCAATAATATAGATCGTTATAATAAAATTTATATTGAAAAGATTAAAAAATCAATCCAAAAATATAATGTTAGTTTAAAATCCCTTTGTATAGATTTAACTGTAAACTTACAATTTGTAAATAATAAAAATTTATCACCTTATGATTTAAAAAGAGAAAGCATATCATTTGCTGCTAAATATTTAATTACAATGTAATATACAAAGATAAATGGTAAATTTCCTTTTTTTAAAAAAAAAGTATTTTTTTTTTCAAATCAATTATTAACATTTATTTTATTTCTTAGGTGAATCTCATTACTCCAACATTAAAAGGGAAACATTGATAAGAATTTTTGATGTTTCTGAATCTGATTTAAAAATTTTAAATCAAGCAGAGTTTTCAGTCCATAGATATCATATGGATTTAAAAGAAAATCTCAAGCATCAATCAACACAATTTACAAATGACAACCTAGAATCTTTTGGTATTTTTTGTACTTACTCAAAACTACCATATAATTCTGATGCTTATTTGTGCAATGATCAAACTGAACATAAAAAGTAAGTTTAAATGCTTTATAAACTTATATGCAGTTAAATTTTTTAATCATTAATACTAATAAAATAATAATTCATAATAGATGTGTTGATGAGTTGATTAATGGGATCACACCACTTGCCAATAAAATCGCTGATAAATTACAAAGTCACTGGCCCAGTTTGTATCAAAAGTTGGCATCAAATGTTTTTCCTGAACAGGTGAATATTATTTATATTTCTATATATATATAATTTAATATTTTAAGGAGAATATTAATATTAATATTATTACTTTTATAGGTGAAAAAACTGTTCAATACATTTACCATGTTAGCTATTAACTTCAACACACTAACAGATCTTCATTGTGATGTTAAGGATCTCGATAATAGTTTGTGCGTGGTTGTACCCTTGGGTGAATTTGAAGGAGGCGAACTAGTGTTTCCAGAAATAAACCTAGTGGTGGAATTGAAGCGAGGAAATATTATATATTTCCGAAGTAACAAATTGCTACATGGTAATTTTAGAGCATCTGGTGTTAGATACTCTTTGATTTTTTTTAATCATAAGAATTGCTTTCCTAGTAATTGAGAGAAAAAATTTTTAATATATGTTTTAAATTTCTATTTATTGCTGTAAATTTTTTACTTAATTTATCCTGTAATGGTATCCTTCTATCAATTAAATTCCATATTGACAAATCCAAAAACTAACAATTCAATTATTTAATAATTTCACCTCACAAAAATACCATATCTCCTCTTTCAAAAATACCATTATTATGTGGAATTTGATTCAAATCATTCCTTTTTTTTTGTTAATACTAACAGGTAGTTTGTCATCACTAACAATTATATGTGCGCCAGGGAACTATTGACACCTTCAAATCTCTATTTTCTAATAGATATCAAAAATCTTTTTTTTAAGGGTAGAGGATCTTCATATTACAAAATCGAATATGAAAATTGTCCATAAAAAATTCCCGTGACATATTTAAAT